TCGAAGGGGCGAAGCATGGACTTGGCTTTAGCAGCGGTAGTGCGGTGACTGCCACGATCCTTGCTGCGCTTCCACCCGCGAGTCACATTGTCAGCGTAAATGACGTGTACGGAGGCACCTACAGGTACTTTACCAAGGTGGCTTCCACAACCCAGAACATCAATGTGGACTTTGTAGAGATGGGAGGAGAGGCGGCAGCGGTGGAAGAAAGGCTGCGAGACGCCGTCAAGCCCGAGACAAAGGTGAGTCACTAGGCCATGCACTTACGCCGCCATTCAGCCGTGCGACGCCAAGGTGAAACTTGGTCGCTGCAGATGCCATGCAACTCGATTCACGATTGTCGTTCTGACTTCTGATGAGACGCTTGCCCCAACACGCATCACAACAGATTGTTTGGGTAGAAACGCCTACCAACCCTACTCTGCGCCTCATCGATATCAACCTGGTAGCCAGGGTGATCAAATCGATTGCGCCTTCAGCAGCTCTGGTCGTGGACAGCACCTTCTTATCGCCATGGTATCAGAACCCTTTGACTCTGGGCGCAGACATTGTCGTACACAGCATCACCAAGTACATCAACGGCCACTCGGATGTGGTGATGGGCGCAGCAGTGACCAACTCGGACGAGTGGGCAAACAAGCTGAGATTCTTGCAAAACTCCATCGGAGCTGTGCCTTCTGCGTTCGACAGCTGGCTGGCTCTGCGAGGCCTCAAGACTCTAGCCCTGCGTCTGAAAGCGCACGGACAATCCGCACTGGCAGTCGCCACCTACCTCTCTTCGCATCCAGCCGTCGCCGAGGTGCTCTACCCCGGACTGCCCTCGCACGCATCTCACGCTCTGGCGAGAAGACAAGTTGCGAAGAGGGCCGCTCCCAAAGAAGCGTCGGGCCCGTTTGCTTATGGAGGAATGGTCTCCTTCAGACTCAAGTCCGACCCAAAGGACGAGAGGCCTGCAAAGGAGGTGCTCAAGAACACTCACGTCTTCACGCTCGCAGAGAGCTTGGGTGGCGTGGAGAGCCTGATCGAGCTTCCTAGCTTGATGACTCACGCCAGTGTCAGTCCGGAGGATCGCGAGAAGCTTGGGTGAGTAGGCGGGTAGACGAGGTCTCTTTGCCATGTGCTACGGACATTTGCTCATAGCGCCATACCCTTCTTCTCCTTCAGCGTCGAGCACAACCTGATCAGAGTCAGTGTGGGCCTAGAAGACATCGACGACCTCATCGCAGACCTCGACGGGGCTTTCAAGGCGGCAAACCTTGCGTAGAGCTTGCTACACATTCGACAACACTGCGCCACGAGCTCACTTGCATCTAGAATACCTTACCCCTTCACTCGCCCCTGTAATGTATGCGATCGCCAGAATGGACGTTTTGATTGTGGAGGAGATGCTTTGGGCATTCGATGTGTGAGACGATTCCTGTTTCCTGCCTGCGCGTGGGCTGCTGTGTCGCGATGGACAAAAAGGTGACTATCCTTTGCCCTTGTCTCGTCAAATCGAAGCGTGGAGTGAAGTGATAACTCTTCCTGGCGGCAGCTCATCGTAGGATTCTCCTCCCCCCCCCCCCCCCCCCCCCCCCCAC